CCGAACGCCATACAATGATAGATGCATTTTCTGCCAGCGCTGACAGAAATATTTATGTGATCACACGTAATCCTTTCCTTGTTCTGATAGCTGCATCATAGACGCAGTCGCGTTAAACCTACCGAAATACTATTTTAAAATACATAGCATGCTGTGCCATCCCCCTCCGGTGTTGATAGCCCATGGATATCTGATATACCATTTTCCAGCTGTTTATTCACAACATCGAAGCATTCATCTGAAATTTTTGCCCTTAACGTGGCCTGTCGCAGGTTTTTAACTGCTTGCGTGATAGACTGGTGACGACCTCGCTCATGCCACTGTTTCTCGTGATTCAGGCAAAGATAAATCTTGTCGGCGTAGAGCTTCTAATAGCCCTCACATCCACCAACACTTCACACCCCAATGGCCACGTGCACAACCAACGGCAGCCTTACGTCTTCGAGTCTATGAGTGTATGAACGAGCGGTGTCCGACAAAGGTATTAAAGTGGGAGACTCACAGGGACCGTCTACTCTTCATGAAAACGAGACAGAGAACTACCTCTTGCAGCAGGTTTTTGTTGACATGCATTTCATAAAACCGCTTATTCTTCTGCCATGATGTGCATCACCTTTAATGCTGAACAGGAAATATGTTTTTAAGTGTCTTGACATTACACCACCCTGCCGTTTGGGGAGACTTGTGGGAGCCTCGTCGGCACACCTGGCTGTCTATTACATTTTTCGAAGGGTCATTTTAGTTCAGTTTGTAGACGGCCCTTTGCCCTTAGATGGCTGTCTCTCCTCAGTGCAAAACAACTGGCCGTGCACGATTGCAGTATGACATCACCGTTTATCGCTGTCATATGACGTCATACAGCAATTGGCGTTGAAAACTGTGTGTGACCTTTGAGAGAGTGGTGCAGCATTGCCTTCAAATGTGTTATTGCGGCCTTGGGCATCGCTGGTTTGTTGCGGAGCCGGGTGCGTTATAGCGGAATGCTCACAAGGAGATGAGGAGTGAGGACTGTGGACTTCCTGTGGTCGCCATGGCCATATCGTCTGCTTTTTCGTAATAAAGTGTTATGTAACTACAGGGAGTGCAGCTTCCATGGCCAACATAGAAATCTTCAACGTCACATGAAGGTTAAACATGCCGGTCTGCCTGTTCGACTGAACAACCCCAGTTTTGGCGCTGGAGGCAAGTGAAGTCGTGACTGACAAGTGGGTACACTGGTTAGAGGTATGCAGATAAGACATCTCTAATTCTACGAGAGTGCCTGCTGGGCAATCTATGGTACGGAACGGGACGTGATGTTGAACATTTCAAGTGGCTAATTATTTGTTCGGTTGCGATTAAAGTTAATGCCTACGTGCCAAAAGTTGCAGGGAAACAACCTGCGATATTCTTACGACCTTTAAACTCCTGTTTTCAACACACCATGCCTTATTTTCACAAATCATTGCATCACACTAGACGCAGATTGAATTTCGCACATACCATAAATCACCAGCTGTCGCAGTCGCAACCACACCTGGTACGATGCGCAATGGCAGTGCAGGAGTTTTGCTTTCGCTGAACACCTCAATAAAGAATAATGACACTAACGTAATAAAACCGAAGTGCGTTATTCGTGATAATTCCCGCGGTTTAACCGTTGCCCTGAAGAGGGGTGCTTCCTAAGTTTTTTTTTTTAGAATACCTCTCCGGCATGTTGTGTTATCGCGCCCAAATTTCAGTATCCTCGTGGGGTATCCACTGCGCGAGTTTCGGCACGAAAACTTCTAACTCATTTGGTTTCGGAGCAGCGGCGTTTTCTGCGGAACACTGCGCGGCGGTCTACGGCCGGCGCGGACGGCAGGTGGCGAGCGGCGGCCGACGTTGCCGCGGAGCGCGCGGTGTGGGCCAACATTGTTATATTAACGGAGTCATTAAATATAAATGTACGCTCAAAACTCGTACAGCTGCGCACCATTATGCTCGAAATTGAACAAGAAACACGTTTCATTAAATCTCGCGTCACCGCAAGGCGTGGGTTCGTATGTATAATATTGTAAAGCTGAGAGATATGAGAGACAAAAAAATGTGGCAGGATGGTGGGTCTGGTCAGGCAACATGAACGGCTGTCTCCCCATACAAGGTAAGACAATGGCAAAGTGCAAAATGGCTACACGGAAGAATGTCGACATGCCGAAATGGCAAACTGTTAAAAGGCGGATTGCAAAGGGGCGACATACCAAAAAATACACGTGCCGAAATGGCGAATGGCTTACTGGTGGAGTGCAAAATGGCATGATGTAAAATGGTCAATATATCAAAGTGGCGAACGCTTAAATGTTGAACTGCTTGAGAGTCACCTTTAAACAAATGGTAACCAGCAAAAATGATTACATGACCAAACGACAAAAAGTCACATGACGACATGAAAAACAATAAGATCAACTGACAAGGCTATACCGAAAGCACGAGGTTTTCCAAGGCTACGTGGACTGGGTAATTCCTATTTGGCCTTTTTATGACAGCTGCCTCCAGTGTCTACGGTTCTGGCCACCAGTCAGCTGGCTTCCGCTCCATTCCTGCTGCGGGAACAGAGGACAGAGAGCGATTTATATTTTGTCCACATCTTAACCTTACATAGCCCGCAGATACACATCACATACTTCCATATTGTCGACATGTAAAATTCGACGTGCCAAAAAGTCGAATCGGCTAGATGGCGAGCTGCAAAAATGCAACGTAGAAGAATGGTATCATCCCAAAATTGCGAAGGGCTAAGTGATGAATTGCAAATGACAACTTACCGCATAAGTCGACAAGCCAAAGTGACGAACTGCACAATGTTGTCCCCAAAAAGGTAAAATTCTGCACTTGCAAACGGCGAAATGGTGAGCTGTTGAAGAGAACATTTCGTATTGGAAGAAGTTGAGGCTAACCTCAGATATGACGGTAAAAAATGTCTCTTGTAACTATTGGTATACCTTGAAGTACCACAGAATTGTCTAGAAAAAATGTATTGTCTAGGAAATGTGATCATCAAAACCTTATCGTTTGATTATGTCATGGAGCGGTTCATCGCATCAGAGTCGCTGCCAGACTGGCCGTGTCAGCGCTGCCGCTGTATTTCATGGGTCGACTCAGTTGTATTTCAACTCGCCGAGAGGCGGTGTGGTAACAGGTGCATTCACAGGCTCCGTTATGACACTATCCTCAAGTTATTCGATTGCAAGTGTTAATTGAGTAATGACTGGCAGCCACGGCCAACTGCTTATCTGATGTAATACAAAACGTGATTCGTGACTGCAACTTACACAACAGTTGATTGAGAGCCAATTGACGCCCGTTATATTTGGAAATCGTGCTCACCGACGCCAGATCAAACGGTTCGATGTTGATATTATTCTTGGCCTTCAACGCTGCGTTGCCTACTGGATAGCAGGATTCCAATGATGTTGCTGTGGCGCCATGCATGCATAAATGGCATACAAATAGTCGCACATCTTTGCGGGCGTGTGGGTGAGAAACTAGAGAGCCTGAGGTTTCAAAGAGAATGTTCCACATCTGAATATATTGAGAGCAAGCTGCCGATGTGATGATTTAAGCTCACTTTTGGGTATTGGTATACTTTTAAGTTGAACAGACCGCTTCAGACAACACAATATCTCTATTAAGTAAATACGCTCATGCAAATGAGCATTCTGAAACGACAATACCATGATCATAAATCAATGCATCCATTTGTCTTTGTCGTGTGTGGTTCATCGTTCATTCACCATGGAAATCTGAAGTATTTCATGACAAACACGTGAGACGGTCTCTTATTGTTTATCGGATGCTATCAAAAGCTATTGAAAATCGAATATCAGCCCATGGTATAAGGAAGCAAGCTGTTACTGCATGCCTCTGAAAAGAACTGATTTTGTATTGGTTTGACTTCTCACGAATCCAGCCCACAGCCGCTCATGGGCGATTTGTATCCCAAGCTATTGCCACGTTATCATTGTTGCTATCATTATCACTGGCTATTTTGTAAGAGGTGCGTGCAGATATTCTTCCAGAATCACCCATCTAAGAACTTTAAACGACCTACGTTCCCTGCACAGGTACAACATCACTGGTTTTACATTTATTGTCGATGCATTGCGTCAATTGAGCTAAGCTTTGAGATACAGTGGATGACAAGAAACACTAGACGCACACACTGATCAACTTCTTACACATGCACACACTTCCACCGCGTGGCCTGGGCACGCTGCCTGGGAAACGCTAGCAGTAACAGACCAAGGCGAGGCCGGGAGCGGCGAGCGCTGCTCAGTGTTCATGCCCGACACGTCGATACAGTGAAGTCGCTGCCATATGAGAACGAATGTGAATGCGTGGCGCTGCACGACATGACCTAATCCGTATGTGTCTAAAACAGCAGAAAGGTGATGTCGTTGTTCCGCATACCCAGTAACAGGAGTCGATAAGCTGGCATATAATGACTATGCAGAGGAAAATAACACGAATTTTACGCTCGCATCTAAGCAGTCCTTAAACATATATATAATATATATATATATATATATATATATTATATATATTTATATATATATATGAGCCATGGGCTTTCCTCAGCGCTCACACCATAAGCCACACGGACGGTGTTTCAAACTGTTTTTCTGGACGGATTTTATAATATTATGAGCATAAGGTTTTTGCCTCTGCATGCATCACCATGTTGCTCATCCCATTAGCGTCATCTTACATTCGGCATATCATGACGTCCAAGAGTATTGAAGTGCGTGGTCGGTGGAAAATGTTATACACACCAACAGGTCGACAAAGAATCAATTCGCATCAGTTACTAGCATGCCTATCTGCCAGCAGGCTTGTGACGGCATTCGATTTGAGACATGCGTGTGCTCACTGCACTGAAGGACCAAACGATGCATCAGCATCCAGCCCCGCACAATTCATTCGCGCGCGTGCAGCGTCGGACATGTATCAATGCAATGTTTGCGACTGCGCACGGCCTCTTTGACGAGCGATTTTCCCAGACATGCAGTGCACCGACACCGGCGGTGGACCGCGAAATCCTTGCACGTAGACAACCAACGCCGCCGCCCACTCTCCCACACGATATACGTCGGCACCTGGTTCCCATGAGTAGGCACTTCAGCGTCTCGGAAAACGCATGGTTCGGGGACCATTGCACTGCGAGGCGGCGGCAGCTGCTTCGAGGCGGGAACCGCATCTGCTTCGCGGCGGGAGCAGCAGCCGCTTCTCGGCAGGGACAGAAGCTGCTTCGTGGTGGGAAGCGGCAGCTGCAGCGCAGTGAGGGGCGGTGGGGGGGGGGGGGATGGTGCTATGATGCGCTCTGCACATCGGCCTGGAACTGCTCCTCGAGGTCACCCTCCACTCCGAAGTCGTCGTTGCGGAAGAGCCAGTCGACCGACTGCGAGCAGGCAATGGCGTCCTCGTCGTGCAGGCAGGACAGCATCGACTGGTCGAACCGCGTCTGCTTGCCGCAGAAGAAGCTGCCGGGAAGAGCGGGTAAGGCTACCGGAAAGACACGTAATGGTAGTCAACGGCACACCTGTGAGATGAAAATCTACAACAACAACAACAACAAAATCTACAACAATCTTCCTCCGAAGCGCCGGAAGGGGCGGATCTTCGAACCTGACATCAGATAGCGGGCTCATGATTTGCTTTTAATGTTTCATATCGTCTGATACTAATTTGATAATTTTCAATCACCCGTAGATCCACAGCATCGGTCGCACAGACTGGTGCTTGGTGCACCGGTGCGCGCATTTAATTTACATGGAATGCAGAGCCAGGCAGCTGTGAGTCGTGACTCAATATGGACACTGCGGCACTTAAGTCATCCCAAAGCGGCCTCGCATTCCAAGCATATCCACAACTAACGTCGCTTCGCCTCCCACCTCGGGAGCTCCGTGAGAAACACGGTCACGAAATCCCGTCAGTCAGTGTCACAAACAGAGGGGCACGCCTGTTGTGGAAGGTCAATCGGCCCATTGCGGTCTAGAAGGCCGCACTGGTGGCAGAGTTATCTTGCTCAACGAACCCATGGCCAGGACGGATTTGCAATAAGACAGTTGCAACGGTGTTCAAGGCCGGAGTATGCGGATACAAAGTAGCGGACAATGAAGATTGACGATGTTCGCCAGAAGCGATACACAAAACATTCAGTCGCTCACAAGCTGTGTGTGATAGTTGAATAATTATTTTTGGGACGACTTGAATCAGAAGATATTTTCATATCACGGCCAATTGCGGGCATTGATAGATGGTGACGATGAAGAGGCTCCATCAATAAACGTGACGAGGAGGCAACTTGATTCATGGGTACTTGGTAGAATCAACTGCATCGCTAGCACCTTTAAAACGGCTTCATGATCTGTTTTGTAAGCAAGACGGGTCGTTTCCATGTCGACTGGGCACAGCCGCATGGTTTGGGACTGGCGTCAGCAAACAAAAAGACATGACATCGCGTCGCGCGTCCGATCGCCCGTTAAATATGAGCATGATACGATCCACGCAGCGTCCCGATGATAACGCTTTCTACAAGCCAGAGAAGAACAACCACGCTCCGTACACCCACGTGTGTAAAAACTACCACAAAAACACCACCGCCTGGAGAGCCGGCTGCTCGGCGCAGGCGCCTCCGGTACTGCTTCGTGGCGCGCCACCCACGCAAAAGCGCCACCCCTGCACGCCCAGTTACGGCGTTTCGTGCATTTGCAGCGGCGATGCCGCCCTGGCTCACGCGAGCGCCGGACCTCTGTGACTCAGCGTGCTTGCTTCACCCATCCCAAGATACGAGCCGTAAGCTGGTGGATCGGAGCTGAGCTGAGCTGACGCTGAGTCAGAGCTCTGTTCCACAGCTTGCGGATCAGAGCTCTGACTCAGCGTGCCTGTTTTCAACCACCCCAAAGATAGGAGTCGTAAGCTGGTGGATCAGAGCCCTGACTAAGCTGCTTGCCTCGCCCACCCCACGATGCGAGACCGTAAGGTGGTGGATCAGAGCTCTGACTCAGCGTGCCTGCTCCACCCCACCCAAGATACGAGCCGTAAGCTGGTCGAATCGGAGCTCGTTACTAAGCGTGCCTGCTTCACCCCACCTCGCCCACCCCACGATCCCAGACGTAAGCCAGCGGATCAGAGCTCTGACTTAGCGTGCTCGTCTCGCCTGCCCCACAATCCGAGCCGTCAGCTGGCGGACGGGTCGGCGGGCAGCCGGCGGCGGACAGGCCCGTGCGAATCGCGCATCCGCCTACGGGTTGGAGAGGGGCTGGGAGTGGCCGGCCTGAGCCAACCAGACACGCAACCGGCAGCAGGAGATGGTACCGCCGGGGGCGGGGAGAGGGCAGGGCATGGCCACGCGACGGCTCCGAGACGCGCCAGGCCTATTGCAGGGCCGGCACATTAGCATGGCAGTCGCGTTTCCCGGTGTTGCAAGAGGGGACGCTGTGCTGGGTGATTTATCTGTCGTTTGGGCGGGCGCCGGCGCCTGTGGACGGTCACCGGCGGCGGAGCGCGCGGCGCTGCGGCGCGACGCGAGGCTGGAGGCCGCACCGCTCGTGACGCGGGGACAAAAGGCGCGGCGTCCCGACGAGACGTGTCATTTTATTGCAGAGGCAGGAGAGTTCCGCTCTAGCTTTTCTTAACGCCGTCACAAACGCCGCGCGCGGCGGGCAACATTGCGTCAAGCCCTGTTGCAGGACTGGGCGTGTCAGCGTTCGCCGTCGTTGCCACAGCCAGTGCGTCAACGAGGCCGTCGCGTTATCACCTGTGAACCTTCTCAGGCGGCCGAACCGCCCGAGGCGCCGACCGCGACCCGACGCCGCTGGAGACGCCGGCGGTGCGGCCGGGACGGCTGACCCAGTTCGGGGGAGGCCGTCCCGCCTCCGGTCGCCCGGCGACGCCGCCCTCGGTCGGCCGAACATTGCCGGCTGACGGCCCGTGAAATCGGCAGGCGGTGCTGGTGCGTGGTGCAACACTGCGCGGGCCCGGCCGCCTGGCGGCGGCCCCGGGCCCAGCCGCGTCCCCTCTCACGGCCACGGAGCCCCGCCGGCCAGCGGCGAGCAGATCGGCCGGCCTTCGGATGGCCAGCACCTCTGCGACGGAGCCTGGTGGCTGGGAGGAGTCGCCGCCAGAGGCGGGACAGTCGGGGCGACACCGGAAACATCCCTTTCCGGTGTCCTCACGCCGGCGTCAGGAGAACAGCCTTGTGTTCCGCTGCCTCTCGCGCAATGTTGGGATGCTGACTCTCACGTGGCTGACCTAGACCTTCACATGTGCCTCCCATGATCACGAGCTCGATGTGCTTCCCGGTTATCACGAGATGTTCTTCTCTGCTTCCTTCTGGCACTGGGCCAAACGCCTATGTCGAGCGACTCTCTCTCTCCCCTTTCTTCCGCGTTTCGGCAAGCAGTCGGGGCGGCGCCCAGGCGCGCACCTGGGCGAGTCGGCACGACTTTCCAGGGTCGCAGCCTCTACCGTGAAGGTGCGGTTCGTGGTTACCGCAGGTCGACGGGTTCCCACGGATCTCAGCGCAGAATGCGCTCCAGACAAGGTTCTGGTGGAACAGCGGAGCTGCAAGCGCGCTGCAACACTGGAGCGTAACTTTTACGCACGCCTGACTTTCAGCAAGCTGGTGCGCAGTTTTTCGTGGAAATTACGCATCGAATACAGCAGCGCGCACTTTTCCCATTTACGTCTTGGGTGTGAAGTTGTTACAAATGTTCCTTGCACCAAGACAACATTCATTCTAATTTTAGTGAGATGGTTATTGATCAAGTCTAGAAGAACAAAAGCGCTGCCGCCAAACAATGTGTTGCTTCGAACCATGTTGATATGCGAAAACTGATTGCATGCAGTTTAAACAAGGTCGGCCTTACGCAGTTAGACATGCAAATGGAATATGCGGTACTTAAGTCAGGGGCCATTCGGCTCTCAAATTGATTTCAGCCCAGCCATTCCTTATCTGTAAATAACAATCCATGTATGATGATGTCAAATACATACACCAGTGCAGGAGCATACCGGAGCATCGACAAAGTTAACTTCCTCCCCCCAAAAAGCTGTTCCTTATCACTGTGTGTTATGCTTTGCTGCTTCTCAATTTCTTACCACGGTTCATTTCTTACCGTGAACGAAGTCTTCCGACAAAACACTGTATGCTCACACCCATCAATGAAAAAATGTTCCCCCCGTTTGCCGAATGATTCTTAAAGTCCTACCGGAAACCGTTGAGCGTCTTCCACGAACGTTATGATTTTTGACTTTAAGATAGCTGAACAATGAATGAACAAAACGTTGCAAGAATGTGGAGAGTTTGTGTAAAACGCTGCAACCGTGCCAGGCAAAGCCGGTCAAATTGACACGTTGTCGAAGGTTGCAGAAAACCACCTGGCATGCGACCTCCGTCATCATGATGAGACGTAAACGTGAAAAACGCGCCACCCTTGGCTCTTTTACACTGTCTCCAGTTAAAAGCATAGTGGACATGCAATGTGTCCATAATTTGCAGACGAGAGCACAGAAGAGCACGCGCTGCACTGGCAGCGCAGGACACACGTTCGCTGAACTGTTCTGAAACACCTCAGACGTGCTTCTGAACTCCAGCTGAGCGCTCAACTTGACTCGTGATCCAGTCCGGTGGTGATGCATGTGTGCAGGTTGGGCCCTCACCTGTACCGCGTGTAGAATATACTGTCTCTGGACACGTCGACTGGCTGGCAGATGTGAAAGATCCTGCAGTCGTTGGCCATGTCCGCGTAGTAGCCGTAGGGCTTGCCCTCGCACCTGTGGACGGCAGAGCGTCACGGGTCAGCGACATCAGGTACCTCCGTCATGGATGTGACTGGACCTGTCGGTGGGGGGCGATCCGGCGCGTTCTCGGCGGCAGGTCTGCACTTCGACGAAGTGAAACAGCGTAGTACGGCCTGATACTCCGGCACGAAAGAATGCTCGCGTGAGAGATAATCTCGGCAAATTTGTGCCTCTGCGGCCGTTGCGATTTAAATCTCATTCGTCTCATGCGCAAATGCTGGCGTGAATACCAAGGTTCTCAGTCGCCATGGACGATGCACCTTGTCATTATTGCGCAACGCCCTGTGTCACGACATCCGGCGGGGCGATCAAGAGTTAGTGCGGCGATGCAGCGCTCGCTTATTACTACACTCATCCTTTAACGAGCGACTCACGCGCGTGGATAAATATGGCGGTAACGAGCGGTTTGATAGATAATATGCCCCTCCGAGGCCGGCGGCAGTGTGTTCGAAAGGTGTGAAAAAGACTGCCCAGTTGGAGCTTGATGTGCCGAAAAATAACGCCGTGGCTTAATGTGGGTGCAAATTCCTGCCTTGCAGTTTGCGAAATATTGGGAGAGAAGCGGCGGCCAGTCAGGTCGGGTAGAAATTGCTACAGTAAATAGCTGGGTGTGCAAGTCATCGATAAATTTGCATAATTCGACGCGTCAGGTCATCCCGTGACTGGCTAGTTATCTCATCCGCCGCTTTCCGCAGAGAAAATCAAAGGGAAGTGAAGCAATGGCTTCCAATGGCTAACACCCCTGCATGACTGGGTACCGGCTCCCAATGATTGGCGCGTGACGCAACATCCGTGCGCCGTGGGTCGTGCTCTGCGCGTGACGTCACCATGAGGAGTGCCAGGAAGAGGATGCATCGACGGATGGACGCCCCCGCCTCCGAGCTGGCTGTTTGCAGAGGTGGGCTTTCTTCTGATTTACATTGTGGGGCAGAGAGCCGGTGGACCCTGGGCAGGACACAGCTTGCGAAATAAAGATTTGCATGTTACACAATGCTAACATGTTAAAATGTTGTAACAATGTTAACGTACATGTTGTAAACAGGTTGTAACATGTTAACGTGATTACAAGTGCTGATTGACCAGCGAGAGCAAGCGGTAGTTCTTGTCCATAGCCTTAGGATCGAGCGCGACTACAGACCAAAACATAGTGCATTATCTTCCAGGGCTAACATTGTACTGTTAAACATACCATGACTCGCCTAGACGCATTGTAAAGTACAGATCACTTTCGCAGCACACAAGCTTGCGGCGGATATATGATGTAAATAGCTGCATTACAAGAAGATGGGCCTTTTTTGGCTTAAAGGGCTGTTGCAGTTGCTTCTTGGCATACGTGTGCCCGGTACTCCCTAAAAATCCCAGGATCCCATTAAAATGCACACCCCATAGGATCCTGATCCATGCTTGAGATCCAGACACATATCAGCTTACTGCTATCGGTAAGGAGCACATGCTTAGTGTTGCAAATACTTAAGCTCATAGCATGGCGCCTGCGCGTGCCATTCATGACTTGGAATGATTCTTTAAACCTTGTGAATGAACAGCAGTATTATATGCGTTTCTTGACTGAACTTGCTTTCTAAACGTAAAACAGCATGGATTAGGAAAACACATCAAGAGGCATCATCCAACCCGCTAAATAAGTACTGCGAACATTCCCAAAAATCGCAGGGAGAAAACAAAGAAAATACAATTTTTGTACTTAGAATAACGTGAAGACACGCCATTAATTTTCTGGTCGAATGACCACTTTACCGAAGCAACAATTTTCCATATTTCGACCGGCAGGTTGGCAATCGTATGACAATGCAACGCTATTACCTCCAAGTAAACAAGACGATTTTGTGCTGAGTTAGCAGCAACAGCTGGTGACAGTGCCCTGGTCCTGGTGATAGCCCTGGTGATTCACCATCGTAGTGTACGTTTCATAATATATTCATGGCGATGCCGTCTGCGGTAAATGGCTTGGCCGTGCCCCGCGCTCTGTCATGCAATGCCATGACATTAATAAACGAGAACACCACTTCGTGCAAACCGTGACAAAATATGGTATCAACATGAGAATTAGCAAGGTCAGACGGGCCATGTGAAAACTAGTTAGACACGCTTTGTATCCGCGTGTTCGCGGCGACAGGTAAGTTGTGTCAAGAACAAGGTCTACACAGAGACAGATTCCGATACATTTACATCCTCAAGGTTCTATTGTTAAATTAGGTGCGCGTCTATCGGGAAAAATCAGAATACCAGACGGCCCGAATTTCGCAACGTCCCTTTTCCCACGGAGCCTGAATACCGATTGGTCAGGGTGGTGCAAGGACCACCGGGCGTCATCCATTCGAGGTGAGGGTGACACAGTGAGTGCGTCCCAGGCGCGGCGCGGTACTGCTCTCCGGCCACACCTCGGTCCGGGCCCAGACAGCACCGGACCCAGACAGCACCGGGCCCACACATCGACCATGGCCGCCAGGCCCGTCCCGGCTCCCGGTGCCGCGGCTCGACCAGGCCCGGTCCGGGAGCGGGGGCGGGGGCGGGGGCGGTCACGGGCCGGGCGAGGACCCCGTCACCCACACGGGCGCGCGGCCCTCTCACCGGGGCAGGCCGGGCGTGTCATCATCCCCGGGTCTCGCAGAGGACGGGCATGGCAGCTAGCTCGTGAGCCCTCTCGAGCGTTCGTGCCCGGACGTCGCCCTCCCAGGCTGAGACTGCGGGTCGCCCGGCACTTGGGAGCACCCGGCGGCGACTGATCCGCGAAATCTGCGGAACAGCACGTCCCACTCATGCTCCCCCCCCCCCCCCCCCCCAGCTCCTACGTCTCCACTGGACAAATGTCCTGTCGACGACCGAGGAGTGTGGCGGCGGCCAGGGCTCCCTCAGCGCGGTGAAAGTGTCTGCAGCGGGGGCGACGCACCTGCGCCGGACCCTGGCGTCCCGGGCCGATCCGAGCCCCGGCGGTGGGGCGGACACGTGGCCAGGGTCTCGGCGACGGCGGCCCTCGGGCGGTCAGCGCTGGGTCAGCTCGCACCGGCGTCACGCGCCGTGACCGCGGCCGCCTCGTTACGCCGTCACGCCGGCGGCGCTCTCTCACACCGTCAATGTCACGCTGCAGGCTCGGGCGTGCCGGCGGCGCGGAGTCGCCTGACGAAACGCCCGCCGGGAGTGAGACGTTATGCGCCTCGCCTGGCAGCGGCCGGCGGCCGCCCGACACGCGACCTCGTGTGATCAGTCTGTCGCGTCGTGATTAATCGACGCACCGAGTGACGGAGCGCCGGCGGTCAACTGTGTCACAACGCGGACAGCGTCAATGTCAGCGGCGCCGTCACAGCTCGGCGTTCATTGCGGTCACACCGAGGTGGCGCTGGTCTCGGACGAGTTATGACCGTTAAATGCTCAGTTCAGTACCGGCTGCTCGAATCTTCGGGATGACAAATGTTCCACAGTGAGGCAATAACCGTTCATTTAAGTGGCGAGAAGAAGATGAAACGGCGGGCCAAGTGTTTCAAAACATCGGTGTGATCGAAACGCTGACCATTTAGAGGCGTGCGAAGGTGCCGTTTTCGTTACATCGCTGGTCTTAAATCAACACACTGGTAGAGCTTGCGCTTCTTGCTGCTAGGCTCATTATCTCGTTGACTGTATGGATTGTGTGATGTCATGAGACATTAAGATAAACGAACTGGAGCATGGAGCCAGGCGCTGTATTCAGTCACTTCGTAGCGTAGCTTAATTTGGACACGCAGCTGTTCTCGATCTAGAAGAACACTGCGACACCGTCGCCTTCAAAGTGATGTTGCAGTTACACTTCCTGGTAATAACGGTTTTCACCAGCGAGTCCGGCATGCCCAACAAGCGAGGGTTTCGATTTCAGACCGCTTCTATGCTGACAACAATGCAATGCAATGCGATGCAATGGCAACTGGAAACTTCAGGCCATCCCCTGGCGGGTTTCAGCGAGAGGACTCTTTCCACTTCCGCCTGGCTGACCCGTCAGCACGCCGACAGTGCTCTGCAACTGGCTTGCCTCAGACAAAAGGCGAGCATAAAAGTCCCTTGCAACTGTCATGCCTCCCTGTTATCCACCCCCCTCCCCCTGAGTCATTCAGTGAGAGACAAGGTACCGGCTACCACCATTGTCCGCATCCCAGACACCCGGCCTTTGTCAGAGCGAAAAGAAAACAACTGGTTCTCCTACTGTGCTCTGCACGCTTTGTCGCCGAGAGAGCGGACAGCCAGCATTTAATTCTTAACTTCCGACGCATGGCTCTTCTCCAGCGAAGGCGCGAGGTCTAGCCATGTTCTGATGTCACGAGCGGAGGCTGAAAGGAGAGCGTGTCGCGAGTGTCCTTGAGTTCGATTTCATCGCTCCCATGACCTCATCCCGGTAACCGAACCAGGATGGCATAAAATCCAACGGTCCACCTTTCCAGCACGTCGCTCCCAGGACCAGCGCCGAGCGAGCCGCCTCTGATCGGCGGCGGGACGCAATTTCCGCGGTGGTGGAGCAAAAACCCGACGGCCGGATCGGTCTCGATGCCCGCGGCACCTCCGCCACCAGCGCTGTCCATCTGCGGCCTAGAATGCCAAGGACAGTGCGCGTCCTGGCCGGCGGCGGGAGACGCTCGCGCCGCGCGCCGTCCGCCGCTCGCTTCCGACCGCATCGTGATCTCCGGGAGGGGAGATCCGGGCGCCGAAGGCCGGCCATCGGTACCATCCTGCGCCACGCGGTGGAGCGGCGGGACGCGCCGGCCCCAGTCCGACCGACCTTGCACCCACTGGACCGCGAGCGGGGCCCCTGTTACCCCACACCGGCGGGGGGGGGGGGGAGGGAGCCCCGGCGCTCCCCGCTCCACCGCGGCCACGCAACCGTCAATACATCGGCCCACGGCTAACCGCATGGCGGTGAAAATTGGAGCATTAGCGTCTCCTTGCAGAGGAGCTAGCCAGCTGGGAATAATTTCACGGCGGCGACAGTGAGCTGGCGAAGCTCTGTTTGAGATGAAAAGGAGCCGCTGGGCTGACGCCGCCGTCCCACGGGGTGTTTCAACACGGGCCATGCTTGCGAATGGCCTGGCATCGTTTGCGTCAACTGTTGTTTGACTCCATTTGGAGATGGACGCAATTAAATGCGCGAGACACAGTGAAGTAATTGTTGATACTCGTGAGGCCCCATTTCATGCCCGGTATCACAGGCGCGAAAGTACCACTTACGTTTTGTCGGGGCGTTGGGGCACGCATCGCGGCTTGAGACGGTCTGCCATATCACTATCTAGCTTTCACTGCCCACCCTGGCGCGTATTAATCACGCGACGCCTAAGCCGTGCGTGGTGGTCCCCGACGTGCGCCGTGACAAACATTATTAAAGCTTGCATCAGATGGCGAATGCGTCATAACAAGTATAGCCAAAAATATGCGTCCTGATTGAAAGAAACAGGCAGCAAAAAACCCTGAAAGATACCCTTTTTACATGATTTTTGGCCTTTTGCGCACGGCCATAGGCTCCTCCGGAGGCCTCTGCCTTGAGCATGCGCGGCGCCCCCTACACTGCATAGATCTACCTGAACAGCACGAGGCAACGAATGGTTACCCCGCTTTGTTGAGCTTGAGATGATGCCGCATTTGAGCAGCATAAGAAGCAAGCATTCTCATCAGGCGTTTCAAACATTATACTTTTGGCTCATCATTCGAGTGCCAAAAACTGCAATCATCGTGTCGAGAAAGTATACAACTTCGAGCCGAGGAAATTTTCTGTCTGCCGCCAACGCTCACATATTTAATCGGTGTTTCTAAAAACCCTTCAGCATTCTTGCAAGCAGTATTTTGTGCCAACACAACATTCGTTCTTAAGATCAGTTGTTCGACGCGTACCAGGACCATTACGAATCCACCATACGAACCAACCGAGGAAACAGGTTTGAAACTGGCGAATCATGTTTATGCATCTAATACCCAAAATAGCTTATGTCAAAGTGATGTTACTTATCATTTAAGTAACTCATGCACATAACGTGGGCAAACCCAGTCAAAAGACATATTCAACAGCAGCCTTAACGTCAAAAAGACCACTGCATTTGATTTCACCAGTTGCAGCTATGACGCGCCCCTGAATGCGGCATGAGCGCATGATCGATGTTATCTTACGGCACCCATGCGTGGTGGGCGGGTAACCAGCGAGATTCCGTTACGACTTACAGCTGTTTGTAGACGATGTCGGATGATAAAGCATATGTGGACAGACCTCCTTTGTAAGCAAACGCAAGCGCTGATCACAAGAACAAAATTTTCTCGGTTCGGTTTAATTTGCATGCATATTGCTTGCATTTAAACCATACCAAAAATTATCAGCGCTCGCTGCCAGCGACTGGAGCCGATTCCAGCCCCACAGCAGCTGACCACGCTCAGAGCTTATAAGGAATTCCTTGCCAAACCACAAGCCTTCGAGCTGCCTTATCAGATGCAGGACGCTCGTCAGGATACGCCGAGTGCGCACATAGAACGTGCTCCTTTTATGCCAGTTGTTGATATAATCGCGCCTCAAACGTTGTTTGAGAAACCCAGTACCTACGAAATTTCATTGCTTCAGCATACTGTATGAATCCAAATAGCTAATATCCTGCAACGATCTCACATTAAATTTGACGAAACAGGCTACAGGGCACGTGCCACTTCGCTCGACTACACCAGCTGGCGACTCACACGGGGCTAAGCACAGCTCATCCATACGAACTCCGCTTGACATGACGAGCATGGAGGCGATAAGGGTGCGACGAAAGTCGTTTAGCAGATTCATTCATCTGCGTCTCCCCGGGACACCAAACTGATATGAAAAGCCTTACGCCTGTGCATAGGAAAATAGCAAGGACAATGTCGTATACATATCCCTTGTGGTTTCCCGTCGCACAGGCGCAAGGCTTTCCACATCAGTTGGATGTCCCGGAGCCACGCGTAGATGAATGATTCTGTGAAATAATTCTTTGAAATACCGCATTCATATCCTCCAACTCACTAACAGTTGCACTTGGCTCCAACGCGGCACCGCTGCTGCGGAAGGCCCGGTACTCACGAGAAGCCGGGCTTGATGTCGGCGCTGCTGAAGACGGGGTCGCTGACGACCACCTCCTCCCGGAAGGTCGGCAGACGCGTGTCAAAGCCCCTCAGGTGCGACGAGCGCGTGATCTGGCCGTTCTTCTGCGCGAACTCGAACACGGGCGCGCTGCCGAGGGCCTGCGGCACCTTCGCCGGCTGGGAGGCGGCTCCCCGGGAGGCGGCTCCCCGGGAGGCGGCCTCCCCCAGAGAGCGACCGGAGCCCGCCCTCTGCGACGTTGACGACGCTGGGCGCCTCTGCGACGAGGTGCGGTCGGCGGCGACCGTGGGTCTTGGTGCCGGCCGACGCGTCTCCGGGCGGAAGGTGGGCCGCGGAGTCACCGCCGCGGCCGGACTTGTGGCGATCGACTGCACCAGCGTGCTGGCCTCGGTGGCGGTCGTGCCGAAGGAGAAGGCGCCCGCCTGTCCACCGAGGGCTGACGGAGGGGCGCCGCGGCTGAAGGTCGACACAGAGCCGGGCAGACTGGAGGGACCCGGATTGGAGCCGAAGAAGCGCGCGGCCTCAGTGAGCACGGCCGGCGCCGAAGTGGGGGTGTTCGGGGAGAAGGCCGACGTGAAGGACAGCGCCGTGGGGAAGGTGGATCGCGGCGTCGTCATCGGCAGCAGAGACGGCTGCTGGTTCACGGAACTGGACGCTGGCTGAGAGGTCCGCTGGCTGAAGGGGCCGAAGGTTTGCTGACTAAAAGGGCGGAAGGTTGGCTGAGATACTGGGCTGGCGGGACGGAATGTTGGCTGAAAGGTTTGCTGGTTGATGGGGCGGAAGGTTGGCCGAGAGGTTGGCTGGTTAATGGGACGGAAATTGGAAGCCGTGGTTTGGCCCGTACCGAAGCTGAACCCACCAGACGGTGTAAAGCGGACATTATTGACCGGCTGTCCACGCGTATTGAACGTGGACGCTGGTGCGCCGGGCTGCAAGGAGTTGGAGCTAAAGGAGCTAGTCGAGGAGGACCCAAGTCTAGTCGAGGACCCAAGGCTGCGTGATTGGGAGGCGGACGACGGGCTAACCGAGCCGAATGAGTCCTTGCTCAGCAACGCGGTTGTGAAGTCAGCCGGGGGTTGTCTAGTGGAGGGTATGCCGTCTAAAAGTCGTTACTCCTCCCGTGCCAGTGCTGTCAAAGTCCGTGCCAAAAGCAAAGCTCCCGAAGTTAGAGACGCCTTGTGCTTGTTGCCGGGTGGTGAAAATGGTGCTAGGAGTTGGTGGTGCGGGGCTAAAGCCTTGAACCCCAGGGCTACTTCCAAAGAAGGTGGCCGTTGGTGGTGTGACACGGCTCAATCCTTGACTTCCAATGCTATTACCGAAGGAGTTTGTCGGCGTGGCTGTGGAAGTGGGCTGGAATGTCGCGGGGAAGGTGGTTGAGGACACCGGGCGAGGAGTACCAGCGGATGGCGTGGGCCTTCCCGATCCAAAGCCCAGGTTTCTGGACGGTGCGATGGGCTGGAAGCCACCGGAGGCGGTCGCTGGGGCGACGCTGGGCCTTATGGTGGCAGACGGTGGCCCGAAGTCGAAGGAGCTGGGCAGACGCGAAGGGAAAGTGCGCTGCGCGTTGCTGTCCAGACTGCTGGTGAAGGTGAACCCTCCGGGGCCGAACGTCTGTACCGTCGAGGCTCCGCCGCCGGCGTCGATCACGACGATACGTGTAGTGGTGGTGGCGGCGGTCGTCGACGTTGTCGTGGTCGGTGCCCGACTGGTGACGGCGTTAACGGAGCCTGACGGACGCCGCCTCCTGGCAAACTGGCGTCGGGACGTTCCCGGCCTGGCGCCGCTGCTGTCGCTGGCACTGCTGCTGCCGCTGACCTGCGTGCGGCGCCTGGGGCCCCCGCCCCTCGAGACGGTGGATCCGCCGGTCGTCCGCTGCCCGCCTCGAGTACCGGAGGACGTCACAGTCCGGCTGCCGCCTCGGGCCGAGCCTCGAACCAACGGACGGCGGCGCAGCACATCCTGCGTCGACGTCGATACGGGACTGGTGCCGGAATCGACGGTGTTCTCGGACGGAGATGGGCCGCTCCCGCTTGGACTGCTGCTGTCCAAAGCTGTTCCAGCAGGCGGCTGCGAACCATCGCTCGCGCCAGAAGCGGATGAAGATGCAGTTCTGGGCCCGGAAGCTGTGGACTTTGTAAACGCAAACGCTGAGGTGTCTGCGTCGCGGCTCGTCTCTTTCTGGGTGTTTGGAGCGCTAATGCCGTCGTCCAACTCGTTCTCTTCTGATGGGAAGGGCTCAAACGGACTGCTGGTGCTCAAAACCACCAGCGGCTTATCTGTAGGCTCGATGGCTCCGGCGTCTGTCGTTGTCGGAGGGACGGGCGTTACCACGCGTCGCCGGTTGGCGAACTGCCTCCTGGAGTTGTTTCGGGTCCTTCCTCCGGACTGTCTATCTCTACCTGCACCGCGGAAGATTTTCTTTCTTCTCAAAATCTGTGGTGACGTGATATTAGTGGTAGGAGACTGTTTAGGCAGGTCCTTTTCCGCTAGCTGGTCTGGTTTCACCTCAGATTTGACGAACTCCTTATTCGCGACATTGCTGTTTTCATCATCCTTGCTGACATTGTCAAAAGTCTTTTTCGTGTCCTCACTGGGATTTATAATCCTCTTGATTTTCTTAACCCTGCGACCTGGCCTGAAACGCCTCCTTGAAGGCGTCGCACGGTTCCTTCCCTCCTCTGACCGCTGTTGCTGAACCGGAGCGACTGCGGGAGCCGACTTGATGACCTCCTCCTCGTCCGGCACCTGTACCGGTACCGCCTGGATCCTGGCCGGCCGTCGTCTCCTCCCTTCCGCCCTGGTCCTCTGCTCCAACCTAGCCGTTGCCGATACCGGCCGCTTCCTCGAGCGCGACGGCGCGACCGTGCCGAACTCGGCGTCGATATCGTTGATCTCGACGTCGGGTGGCGCGACGGCGGCCGGTCGTCGGCGCTGGCTCGGCTGCCGCGCGGCCGGGCGGGCGGCGCCGGGCCGCGGCGTGGTGCGTGCCGAGGGTCGGAAGCCCAGGTCCTGACCCAGCAGGAACGGGGACGGCGTGAAGCGCCTGCTGCCGCGCGACTGGCCGTGCGCCAGCGCCAGCACGCAGAGGACTGCAATAGGAATTGCAGGGGTCAGTCGACTGCAGCCAAAAACAAAACAAAAGACGCAGTGCGGATAGCAAGCATGTCATGATGCAGACTGGGGGCACGTTCCGCGTTCCGGTTCAAAAACCTCCACATACCCTCCTATGACCTACAACAAGCATGTCCTTCGGCGCGGCGCCCAGACAAGAGCACGGTCCGTGCCAGGCGGCGCGGGCGGCGCCAGGCCGCGCCTCTGGAGCACCATGGCTCACCGCCGGCCAGTCGTGAGCGTCCCCGTATCTCGGCCCGTCGCATGGCCGCAGCGGGCGATAGTGCCGCCCACGGACAGGTCAGACACATTACCAGCAGGCGATAGCCTCGAATGGCGACACTGGTCGTCATGCTGCTATCACTGCAGTGGCCGGCACTCAGTGGCATGTTTTGTCGGGGAAATACGCAGATGTGGTGCGAGATCGAACCTGGCGACCGCCTTTGCATGTAGGATCGCACAACTTCATCAACGCCTACAAAAACGCAGCACAATCGCAGCACAAGCTTAATCGCAAAACAATGCTGTACAGAACCGCATAAATTGGTCACATTCAAAGAGCGGTGTTATTTTTTGTAGTTGTATTTTGTCTATTCATTCTTTACCGATCATCTTGCTCGTTTTAATGGTCTTAGGAGACGCATATCAGTCCACTGATGAGCAAAGGCCAGTTTTCGTTCATCATGCTAACCGTTGTTCGTACCATCATCTCATAATGATAACGATATACCCTTCAATGCATGCGTGAAACTCAACATTTGGCATTCAAACCGTGTCTAAACTCGTTTCCATTAAATATTTATAATGCCGCAAAACCAGTGCAGTTTATATATATATATATATATATATATATATATATATGTATATATTCATATATATATATATGCATGTATGTATATATGCATATATATACATATATATATGTATATATATATATATATATATATATATATATATATATATATATATATATATACATAAAGGTATGGAAATGCTACGTACTTATAAGAACTGATGTGCGGTTGAAAATCGAGCTTGTATGGAGTCATTGTAGGCAGTAAAACAAACCTTGAAAGGTATTGGACATGAAAACAAATGTCAAGTCAAAGACGTCGTTCGTTGCGACGTACTCCGCGATATCGTACTGCAGACATTGTATCGCCTGTTTTGCCAGAAGTTTTCTCCTAACGCAGAAAAAAGTTCTGCAAGGTATTGGGCTAAACACGTGCTGGAAGGGGGGGATGAGTTCCATCTGAAGGTACTTTATGGCAACACTTTCGTCCATAGCATAACGGCCGAAGACAAAGCGTAAGAGTGTCCAAGTGTCCATATTTCAGGTATCCTGCAATCGTTGGTTTTAAAACACTGTTTTTGAAATCAGAATGTTTGTCCCATTCCAGGAAAATGCTATAAGAAAAGCATTTCGGTCGCCTAACTATTATGCAGCAGAACTGTGCTTGATTTTTCTTTATTAGAATACCATCTAACTCAGAATCACAACACACCAGGGTGATTCCGACTACAAGCTGAACAAGCATGTCACAAGCCCGGTCTCATTCGGACTTAGGGAGGGAAGTCCCCATTGTGGTATGCGCTCGTGAAGAAAGCTTTTCCGATCGCGACAGCTTAGGACGCAGGCCGTTCTACAGCCGCTACAAAAGCCTGTCTCGGACATCTATGCTGTGACACGACAGGGCGATGAGAAGTGCCACATTTGGTAGAAACATAACCGCGGCCGAAACAGGAATGTATATTAGTTTGGGTTCAGAGGTTTTATACTGAGTTGTCGACCCTCTGTATAATTCAGCATCATTTCATTGTAACCAGTACCAGGAGATACTGGTCACGCGATACTCGTTAAAGGCTATGGTAGTGCAAACATCAGCTATATTGACAGTGCCTGACGTTTGAAGCTACGGTTATGCCCTCAAGTCAAACTCGTGAGCATTAGCCCCGCATGGAACATGGAGTACTGCCAATGCAACCAAGGTTTGCACAATAACATCGCTTAACCATCACCTCCTAGTGTATTGAACGTCGATGACTCAGCATAAGAACTCTGATCTCCCAATGCCGAAAACCCAGAAGCCCTTCTTTCTGACATCAAGTATAGTTATTGTTTATATTCCTAGATGAAACACGTCTATCGACGATTCCGTGCAATAGTATTGCATGCACCTCCACCTCGAACCACGCGAACTCGACCGAGACTCACCGCAACTTGTCTGATTGCGGGGTCGACTTTAACTCCAGCGGGACTGCAACACAAGTATCCCATGCAGGTCCATGTGAGGAATCGGGACCCTGAAGGGGCAGTCTCTGAAGTCTCACACGCGGGATTGTGTCATGAACCAGGACTCTGAAAGGATCCAGATCTCATGCAGGCCTGTGTTATGAATCAGGACCCCGAAGAGGTACCGGTCTTCCATGCAGGCTTGTGTCATGAATCGGGACCCTGAAGAGGCACGGGTCTCCCATGCAGGCCCGTGTCATGAATCGGGACCCTGAAGAGACACGGGTCTCCCACGCAGGCTCGTGTCATGAATCGGGACCCTGAAGAGGCACGGGTCTCCCACGCAGGCTTGTGTCATGAATCGGGACCCTGAAGAGCCCCAGATCTCATGCAGACTTGTATTATGAATCGGGACACTGAAGAGTCGCCAAGCGTGACTAATAACGCAATTAAGATCCTTTCGCTGGGCAGTTATTGGTTACCCTTCATGGCCCAGGTCAAGGCAATACCGCTACCGCGACGAGTATAAGACAGACCGTTCGCGCAGCAACACATACTGCATGCATGATTGCACTGACGTCATTGGAAGAGCACCTAGAGCTTATTCACGGACAAAGGGGGACTCGCGGTTGGTGTCCGCAGGCTATCAAAAATTCCTCAATGGATGCTGGGGTCACATCGCACCAGTTTGCCGGTTTTGCTAACGGACCTGGAACGGCACCTGGGTTAGTGGTGCAGCACCAAGTGCGAAGCTCCAGCACAACGGCTTTTGATGTTAAGAAGTTATTATCGCATCTGTCTGGGCTTAGCCGTCAAAATGGCAACTCTATCATATTGACAGCATTGGTTTTTTTCAAGGCACGTTCACTGTTGAAAGCTAAACTGTGGACGCCCGCTGACGTTTCAAACCATGCAGAGCGACATTTAATGCCTTCGAGAGATGCCTTACCTGCCTTGTGCCTTAGCGGCCCCACGTTAGCGTAACCTGTCATCGTCGGTCATAGGTCATCGCCATTATAATCTGTCCGTACTGTGCGTCAGAATCAATCGGCGAGGAATCGAAAATACTTTGCGCAGCTAGGGGTTTTATGAATCACGACGGAGAGTCAATGTAGCTGTAGTCGGATTTATGATTGTATCTTTCAGACGGAGATCAACTGGTAGGTATGTGGGGGTCCCAGCTTCCATGCCGCACGCAGCCCTGCCCTAATTCATCGGTGTGGACGCCCGGCACCGAGCGGACCCGCAGATAACTAACTGTGTTAGTCTGTTATCACCTCAAAGGCAACATATTGCCACTTAAGTCAGGTCAAGTCTAGATTTAAATGTATCAGCGAGTTTGCAGCCGAAGGCACCATCCGGTGGAGAAGATACTTCAGCGTAATTGGTCACCGGATCCTCAGATGCTATCAATATGTTCGCCTAGGCGCACTGGCTTACCTGCGAGCAATATCCTCTGCATATCTGGACCCCAGTTGTCCCGACCACTGTCACCTGGGAACTCCGCGCCTCACGTTACGCTGGCCAGGTATAATAAAACCTTGCCACAATGCGCCAACTTAGTGCACCGCGACGCCCGACTCAGTGCCGTGGATCCGCGCATGCGCGGCGCGGGCGGTGCCAGCGGAAAGCGAGAGTTCCTTGGTGGCGGGCGGCGTCTGATCGGCGGGGGAAAATAGGTCCGAGGTCGCGTGTTCAGAAGGGCGACTTTCGTGGCAAGAAGTGTGCCCTTAGCATGGCTTTTGCCATTGATCGTCCATGTGAAACCGCCCCTGATTTTGGTGGCGATCGTTGTTATCGGACAGGTATTCACGTTTTCGCGATATATCTGCCTATCCCAATGCTCTTCTTTAGACTTCGCAATGAACTTAGGGCGTAGTGGTCGCAGGTGATGTTGCATTAGTTGATATGTCCGAGAATGGACACATATCTGAAGCATCATATAGAAGGTGAGATAGTCGTTCTTGTTCAGAAGGCGTACTAGAAGGCGTACTAGATGAGCGTCGTCCTACGCTTGTGAACTGGGCGCTGCTGAAACTGTCTGGCGGCATTTGTAGGTGTGTTGCACCTAACCTGGAGTTTGAAAGTGTTTGATAATGTGCCCATGCCTGAAGGCTATTGAAACCAGAAGCGATTTTGGCCGTTGCGATGTGGTGGCACTTGTGAATTATTGGCGAAACTAGCTGTATGATTGATGGTATGATAAAACTTGTTTGTTCCGATGTTCATGCAACATTGCATTCCTAACAGGCAACAAGTTTTTCTGGATGCAAAGAGCCCTTAGCTCACTTTTGGTGAGCCGAAAGTTACCTTTAGTTCACGGTTTGTTTAGCTTCTGCCCTGTTTTCGACTCTGAAGTGCAGTGTCACCCTCTTGGGTTCCATGAGATTGCTGACAAGGTTAAGAAGAATGGGAGCCATGCTATGATAAAATACGGTATTATATAATTGTGTATTTTTGTTACCGCGAACGGAATGGGAGCTCTAATACTCCTTAGCGTCGTATATGAGTGTTACTCAGTCACATCAACTTGCCAATGTGATTTGTTCATCAGAAAATTTGTTCGTGGAACGTGTGACTG